GCCTAATATGCTAATGAGCTGTGGTGTCAGGGTGTGGCCTATTATGCTAATGAGTTCCTGTTGGGCTTTTTGTACAAAAAAAGCCCTGGACAGAACTACGGCTTGCCCAGGGTCACCCAGCAGCTGCAAGTGGAGGAGTGGGGAATCAAACCCGGCTCTCCCAGATTAGTCTCAGGCCCGATCCCCGGCATCTCCAGTGTAAAGGATCAGGTAGTGGGTGGTGTGAAAAGATCCTGGAGAGCCACTCCCAGCTTGGATAGACGATATTGAGTTTGACGGACCGAGGGTCTAACTCAGAATAAGGCAGGTTCATGAGTTCCTCTGTGTGTTTGGGGAGGGGCCGTGGCTTAGACGCAGAAGCCTCTGCTTGGCACACAGAGAGTCTCAGGCTCAGTCCCCGGCGGCACCTCCAGTTAAAAAGGACCAGGCAGGAGGTGATGGGAAAGACCTCCACGGGAGACCCTCGAGAGGCACTGCCAGTCTCAGTAGGCAACATTCACTTTGCTGGACCGAGGGTCTGACTTAGTACAAGGCCGCTTCGTGTGGGATACCATGCGAGAGAGGCAGGTTACCTTTGGCTTCTTTGACAGTTATATTATTTACATCTTCTTTAACGGGTTCTTCTGGGGGTGCGAGCATCGCAGGCTCCGTTACGGCATCTAAGAAAGAAATCTTTCGGTTAACACCGAGGATTCAGCTGTAGGGCGGATGTCTTGCATGCGAAAGCCCCCCTCTCTTGGAAAAGCCCTTCAGTGCCCCTGGCCAGTCAAAAGTAGCAGGACTGGGCTTTGGGGAGAAAGGGTCTGATTCAGGCCGAGGCAACTCCAGGCGTTCATAAAGACGGGGAGAATGAGGAAATCACACGGGGAAGGATACACTTCTACGCCTCTGCCTTTCCCTGCTGTGACTGTGAGCGCATACATATTGTTTTAAAAACTGCTAAATGGGCAAGCATGACTGTCTACACCACACACACACACGCAAGCGCGCGCGCACACACACACAAGCGCGTGTGCGCGCGCGCACACACACACACCTTCTGATGTACAAGTTACCTGCTTGAGAGGCGTTCGTTTCAGAAGTGACGGTTGCTTTTTCTGTAGCGGAACACAAAAAACAAACAAACACATACATGTTTTCTCACACATTTGGCTACAATGCCAAAGGGAAAGCAAACGCATTGGAGGACCAGGGCAGCCAGAACGGCACACATTCTGCCTCGGGTCCAGGCAACTGCTGACACGGCAGAGTTTGCGGAAGGGACCTTCACTGATCCCACCCCTTTGCAGTGCCCCTTCCCCCGACTTCCTGAAGGATTCTGGGGACGAGCACGAGATGCAGAGTGGGAGTCTATAGGGAGAAGGGGGATTTGGCAGAATTCTCCCCCGCCTGTGGGAAAAGAGGGGGCCGTTTCCATCAGCTCCCCCTTCCCACGGCAACCCTCCAGTGTCACATTCCAGGCTTCGGGGTTGCAATTCCATTTCATCATCTGACATAGTGTGCCTTGCACATGGAAGCTCACATCTTGAATAAAACTCTGTTGGTCTTAAAGGTGCCACTGAACTCTAACTGGGACATCAAGGGTGTAACTCTGCTCAGGACAGAACTGTTTGGATGGTGCTGGTAACGATTCCTTGTGTGTGTGTGTGTGTGTGTGTGTGTGTCTTTAAAAGTTTGGTTGCATGGCTGTGGTAGATAGACTAGAGTGATTGAGAGAGGCAAGTGTGGTATGACTGGTGGTTGACAGAGAGGAGGAGGGGTTTTGGAAGTGAAAATGAGTGGATGAGTATGTATGTCAGTCAGGAGTGACTGTTACATGTGGACAGTTGAGATGCAGTGAGAAGCAGTCCTGTGTGGAATAAGTTAGTTCAGTGAGAAACAAAAGGAAGGCTGAGAGAATAGGAACAAATAAATGAAAGTTTAATTGAGGACAAGTTATAGGAAAGGCTGTATGTCCTGGAGAGAAACAGTGAACATATATGACCTTGAGTTAAAGTGTTACAAAGTTACCTGAAAGATCCCTGTCAGTAAGGGAGCAGATTGTGTGTGATACACCAAGCAATTGTTCATTATTCACACATTCATAGTTACATCGCCCAGGTCATCCGCTCATTACCCAGAGAGTATTTGCAGATAAAGTTGTTCTTCATGTTGCATCTGTCGTCATTCCACTGAAACATGTACGGGCCGCCGTCACCAGGAGGCGCCGAGGGCTGGTGATACATCACGACGCAGATTTCACTTCCGCAGGAGGGCTCATCTATGTACCAGTTCCTGGGGAAACAAAGAAAATTATCTATGATGAATTGTTGCCCCATTGAGGACTCTTCCAGGAGAAGAGGAACACGAAACAAATCCATTCACTACTCCTTTGGGCACTGTGTCCATGCCTCTGTGTATGGAGGGGGCTGGTGGGTAGATGGTACTTCCTGGCGTTCATCAGCATGTCCTGTAGTCCCTTCCAGATCTGGGATCTAAAGCTAGGACCAAACAATCTAGCCCTGCTAGGGAGGGGCCGTGGCTCAGTGGTAAAGCCTCTGCTTCGCTGGTAGAAGGTTCCCAGGTTCAATCCCCGGCATCTCCAGTTAAAAAGGATCAGGCAGTAGGTGATGTGAAAGACCTGAGACCCCTGAGCAGTGTTCCCACTAAGCTGAGTTAGTGTGAGCTAGCTCAGTTTTTCAGCCTCCGGCTCACACATTTTTGTCTTAGCTCAGGAAGGCTGGCTCCAGAGCAAACTAACTTATGCAGTAGCCAAATGGCTCACTCACAACTTTAATGCCAGTAGCTCACAAAGTAGAATTTTTGCTCGCAAGACTCCACAGTTTAGAGGGAGCATTGCCCCTGAGAGCTGCTGCCAATCTGAGTAGACAATTCTGACACAGATGGAGCAAGGGTCTGATTTAGTATAAGGCAGCTTCATGTATGTATTCATGTCCGGCTGCAATAAAAAAGGCCAATGCTGCGCTGGGGATTATTATGAAGGGAATTGAAAACAAATCAGCCAGTATCATAAAGCCCCTGTATAAATCAATGGTACGTCCTCCTTTGGAATACTGTATGCAATTCTGGTCACCACACCTCAAAAAGGATATTATAGCATTGGAAAAAAGAGCAGAAAAGGACAACTAGAATGGTAAAAGGGTTGGCTATCCTTCCGATATAATATATAACCGGGAATCACTGTGTCCCACTGATTTTCCTCATCCCACCAAGTTTCAGAAATACCCACGATGTCTATTTTTCCCTCCGACACCAAGCACTCCAACTCCCCGATTTTACCTCGGACACTTCTAGCATTTGTATAGAAACAGCTGTAATTTCCCTTACAAGTTAAGCCTGCACCCTTCCTCTTGCTATCTCTTTAACTAGGGCTCTTTAACTAGGAGAAACGACAGCTGAGGGGTGACATGATCGAGGTTTATAAGATTATGCATGGGATAGAGCAGGTTGAGAAAGAAGTCCTTTTCTCCCTTTCTCACCATACAAGAACTCGTGGGCACTCAATGAAATTGCTGAGCAGTCGGGTTAGAACAGATAAAAGGAAGTCCTTCTTCACCCAAAGAGTGATGAACACATGGAATTCACTGCCCCAGGAGGTGGTGGCAGCTACAAGCATGGACGGCTTCAAATGGGAATTAGATAAGCATATGGAGCAGAGGTCCATCAGTGGCTATTAGCCACAAGGTCTAGATAGGAACTCTCAGTCTGGGGCAAGGGATGCTCTGTATTCTTGGTGCTTGTGGGGGGGGGGCAACAGTGGGAGGGCTTCTGGTGTCCTGGCCCCACTGCTGGACCTCCTGATGGCACCTGGTATTTCTGGCCACTGTGTGATACAGAGTGTTGGACTGGATGGGCCTTTGGCCTGATCCAACATCGGCATCTCTTATGTTCTTATACCACTGTGTACAGTCCCTACTGCCTGTTGCTATGAGTAGGATCTTACAATGTGGGTGTTTTTGGCATCGTCTTAACGTGTCTTATTAACCCCCGTGCTTTGTTTTCAGACTCGTGGCTGGTTCCCGATTTCTACGACCCAAACCCTATTGTGTTATCAGATGTCCCCTTGGCTGTTGGGACTGACTTACTCTCGTGTAACCAGCCTTAAGTCCCAGTGAGAAAACGCGGACTGTAAATAACACCACTCAACCAACCAACCAACCAACCCTCTCCTGCCACACGGTCCCAGTCAGAATCTGGGTGCCATATGCTACAGAAGAAGAAAAAGAAGAGACTGGATTTATACCCCGCCCTTGACTCAGAGCCTCAGAGCGTCTTACAATCTCCTTTCCCTTCCCCTCCCCACAACAGACACCCTGTGTGGTAGGTGGGGCTGAGAGAGCTCTTGACAGAAACTGCTCTTTTTCAAGGACAGCTCTGACAGAACTATGGCTGCTTGCCCAAGGTCATCCAGCAGCTGCGAGTGGAGGAGTGGGGAATCAAACCCGGTTCTCCCAGATTAGAGTCTGTGCACTTAACCACTACACCAAACTGGATGACAGAAGTCATCGCTCCCACCTGCCGGCTTGTTCTCTGAATTGTTGCTCAGGCTGGCAGAAGTGATTAACTTGCAGCAGCTGAGAACTGTTATCTGAAGTAGTGGACAGCTTCCAATTTAGAGGTCTCTCCTGGTAGCAGCTTTCTATTGGCTAAACGGCTTTTCTTTCTGCACTGAAAACTTCAGCCCCGCCAAAAAAAAATATCTGCCCCACACGCCACGAAATCCCAGCTACGGGCCTGCTTGACTTTCTGCACTCTCGAGGGTTAACCATCACCACATCCCTGTCCAGGCCTCACCGAAACACAGAGGAGGTTCCGTCGGACCAGGAGTACAAGTCGAGGCATTCCGTGCTGTTGTCTGGGTCCTCTTCTCGTGTGAGCCCGATCCAGAAATCGCCGTCGGAAGCCGAGAGATGCGCAATGATCTTCTCTATCAGTCTCTGCTCCGCCTGCGACTCGATGCTCACCAGGTGCCCCCCGTCTCTTCTGCACGCCTCAAAGGCTTCCCGGAAGCCCACCCTGCGGGACACATCGTGGAAGTACACAACCTTGTAGCACGGGCGCTGGGTCCCACCCCGGCAGATGGCCTGACCTGTGGAAAGGGAAGAGAAAGGAGCCCATTTAACAGAGACTGGGAGGAGCAGGAGGAGAAGAAGAAGAAGAAGAAGAAGAAGAAGAGAAGAGATTGGATTTATACCCCGCCCCTCACTACCCAAAGGTGTCTCAGAGCGGCTTACAAACTCCTTCCCCTTCCCCTCCCCACAACAGGCACCCTGTGAGGTAGGTGGGGCTGAGAGAGCTCTTGACAGAAACTGCTCTTTTTCAAGAACAGCTGTGCCAGAGCTTGCGACTGACCCAAGGTCACATCAGCAGGTGCAAGTGGAGGAGTGGGGAATCAAACCCAGTTCTCCAAGATTAGAGTCCGCACACTTAACCACTACACCAAACCACTACACCAAAAGAAGATTGGATTTATACCCCGCCCTTCACAACCTGAAGAAGTCCCAGAGCAGCTTACAATTGCCTTTCCCTTCGCCTCCCCACAACAGGCACCCTGTGAGGGAGGTGGGGCTGAGAGAGCTCTCTCGAGAACTGCTCGTGAGAGAACAGCTCTGAGAGAACTTGTGACTGACCCAAGGTCACACCAGCAGCTGCATGTGGAGAGAGCAAACACTTAATTCGCGATGGGCATGTGGTGGCGTGGGGAACCAAACCCGGTTCTCCCAGATTAAAGTCCACGCTCCTAACCACTACACCAAACTGGAGAGAGCAAACGCTTAATTCGCGATGGGTGGCATGGAGTATTTCTCAATAATTAAGTCAGTATTCATTAAGAAAATAACTTTTACTGCACATCATGGAACAGCTTGGCCATATTTTTACTGGAGGAAAATATGCCAGTGAGGTTCTGGCTGCCCCCCCCCCCCCCCAATCCACCATTTGCAATTTGGGCACGGGGCCCCCA